TCCCGATGGTACAAGGATCGGCTCTGATACCATTTGTATCACCCCAAAGCCCAATGCAACAAACTATCCCAATAACTTCGAATCCAACTTAAAACCATGGTGGAATTTATTGGTAGCCCACTACTTGAGACTTATAAGGAGCTAACAATTCTCACATTCTATCAATGTGGGACGAATTGTTACAAACTACCCCACTTAAACTCCTGACGTCCTCGTCAGGCTTATCCAGAATCTTCCTCCTTGTCATCGATATCGACAATGTGGGATTTGCCTAAGATGTTATAAACACCCCCTCTTGAGGACTCATCATACCCGATGAGGTTTGCCTCACAATCCCGATGGTACAAGGATCGGCTCTAATACCATTTGTAACACCCCAAAGCCCAATGCAACGAACTAGCCCAATAACTTCGAATCCAACTTAAACAATGGTGGAAGTTATTGGTAGTCCACTACTTGAGACTTATAAGGAGCTAACTATTCTCACATTCTATCAATGTGGGACGAGTTGTTACAAATCACAATTCCATGTGTTCCCAAAAAGAAGGTTGCTTCCCCGGTTCCCCCCACCCCCCACACATATAAATCATCTAATAATCGTCTTTCATTTTTCTTTTGACAAATTGATTTTCTATGTCCTCGTCATTATGCTTTTGTATCAACATGGTTATCTTTTATTTTTGTTTGTTTTTGAAACGACAAATTAAATCCGGGGTCTTTATAAAATATTGTGAATAGATGAGAATAGTTTATTAATATAATTGATGAAACAGTTTTTGAAAAGATTTTTACATTAGAGATAATTTATAAAAACAGGTTTTTGTTAAAAAAATGTTAGTGGAAACKGATGTGGCAAAAATAAAAACTCTTTTAATGACTTGTGCATTGAAGATGCTCTAAAATGTCTATAAGAATAGTTTTAGCTAACCATAAAGGTGGTGACTGATTGGTTTGAACTTGGCTCCAAAGGTCAAAAGTACCAGTAAGTTCTAGGTTCAAATCCAAAGAGAAATAAAAATCCTTTTGTGGCTAAGGAGGTTCAAATACGGTGACTCCGAGCTATCTGTAAAGCAGATGTTCGTCTTGAAATTAATCGACTCGCATAGCAAGTTAAATATCCCGGTTAATAAAAAAAAATGGTTTTAGCGTTCAAACCTTTAAAAGAAGTTTTAGAGTAATAATAATTCTTTGAAAAAGTTACCATCCATGCTCTAACGGTAAAGATTAGGGGGAGTGCTATTGGCACCCCTTTGATAGGGGTGCTAAACACATTGGAAATTGAACCTCATTAAAAAAAGATAAAAAATCAATAAAATAAAATAAAATAATATATTTTATTATTATTATTTTCTATATTAATATATATCCTATAATTTATATATAT